CGTCACCAAGTACACCAGCTCCAAGTAAACGGCTCAAAGTAAACGGCCGTTTACCGCCTAAACGGCTGTTTACCGCCAACTCCAACGGCCCTTTTCAGGGCCACACACTTCAACCTAAGAGCTAATGCCATTCCTAACGACTACTCAGCTTAAAACCAGTTGATTTTTTTTATCTGTTTTATGTACATAGTGTGTGTGTATATATATTTAGCCCCACATTATATGCGTTACATATTTACCATGTTACAAAACAAGCCCAACTTTTATTAAGTCAAGGAACATAAACCTACCTAATCTACAGTTAAATTTAACTTTAGAAGTAAATGCACTAAGACAATTAGTACGGTATTTGGTAAAGTGGTTTAGCTATAATTTACACTGCAGCTCTTCTCATAAGTGTTTAGTCATTTATCAAATGTTGATATTCTTAATTTAGGAAAAACCTGAGAATACCTCCGATGTTTGTTAAATGTTTAAAGCATTTCTAATCAGGCTATGTAACAATACAGTGTGTAAAATATTACAAGTAAAAAAGCCATGTTTTTCTTTTAATGGCAAAATGTGAACATGGGGTTGAACTAAAACGCCATGAGCATCATGAACTCCTTCGTGAACGACATCTTTGAGCGCATCGCCGCCGAGGCTTCCCGCCTGGCTCACTACAACAAAAGGTCCACCATCACCTCCAGGGAGATCCAGACCGCCGTGCGCCTGCTGCTGCCCGGAGAACTGGCCAAGCACGCCGTGTCCGAGGGCACCAAGGCCGTCACCAAGTACACCAGCTCCAAGTAAACGGCTCAAAGTAAACGGCCGTTTACAGCCTAAACGGCTGTTTACCCCCAACTCCAACGGCCCTTTTCAGGGCCAAACAATTCAAACTAAGAGCTGATTCTGTTCCTAATGTCTACTCAGTTTAAAACTAACATGACTATGTACATTGTGTGTGTGTGTGTGTGTATGTATGTGTATATATATATATATATATTGCCATGTTACAAAACAAGCTGAACTTTTATAAGTAAATAAGGAACATAAGCCACCTAAACTACAGTTAAAACTAACTGTAGAAGTAAATGCACCAAGACATAAACCACCTAAACTACTTTAAATTTAAATTTGGGGAACTAGAAGTATGCACAAAGACAATTAAAAAAATATCCTACTTTAGAATTGGTGTTTAAAGTGGTTTAGCAATAATTTAGGCTGCAGCTTTTCTCAAAAAAGTGCTCAGTCATTTATCAAATGATGATATTCTTAATTTAGGAAAAACCTGAGAAAACCTCACATGTTTATGTCAAATGTTTGAAGCGTTTCTATTCAGACTATGTAACAATACTGTGTTTAAAGGCCGTCACCA